CCGGAGATAACGCACAGGCGCGGCTACAAGAGAGGAGCGGGAAGACGCTTGGCGGGGTTCATATTTATTCTGGGCCCATCTGTCTCCACGCTTGAGTGTCAAGCGTGACAGGCCCGATGAGTCTCGAACTGACGGCGGGCGGGTTCATCGGCTATTCTCAACCTGCCGCCAGGTCTCGCGTGTTTTGATGCATGGCCGCTCGCAGATATGACCCCGGCCCGACTGACTGACTGACTGACGGACGGGACCGGCTGACTGATGTGACTGGCTGTTGTGTTGTGATTGGCGAGGGCGAGCGTGTAGCCCAGCAGCAGCAGCGGGCTGGGCTGAGCTGTGAAACAATTGGATTAGCGAGCAAACACGGACACATGAATCCGTGACTAAGTTGCACGCTGTATATTTCACACTGCTTCCATTTGGATTTTGTCACTGTTTACATTTGGATTTTGTCATATTTCAGCTATAGGATCTTTAAACTCAAGGTAGCTGATACCGAACAAAAAGGGTTCTTTTTGGCATTTGCAAGTTTGCTTAGTCTTGAATTTTTTTTGGGGGGGGCGGGGGGGCTGAATCTACTCATGATTTGCTGAAAAACTCACCTACTCGCTGTGTACTACATAGAAACATATTGCAACGGTGGCTTCTGGTGGCATCCTGATGCCATGCAACTATGTTGAACTGATGGGAAGAACTTCATTATGTGAGACCACAGTGTTGTCTAATCGAAAAAAAAAAAAAAGCTCCGCCACCATTTTGTGGCATCTATAGGCAACCTTTTTGGGTGGGCGTCAACCTCTTGCACATTCCCACTGTTTATTAAAACTAATGAATTCATGAATGAATTAATTTGTATGCTGATGCACTTTAGAAAGGCGAAAAATGACATTTCTTTTTTCCCACCTAATTTGAAACCGCATACCGAAAAATATTACGGATGCAGTTCTTAGCTATTCACACAGCATCACTGTCAAAAAATAAAGAAAGAAATAAAACATTGACAAAAACTGGTCTAAAGTAGCCCATTGACAGATTCCTCACCGCATTTCTCACGCGTCATTGCATCAAGCACAATCGTGGATGGCCTTGCCCTTGACGGCGCTTTAAAGCGAACGCAAACAAGCGGAGCTGCGCCCGCAAAAATGCCTTTTCGGTTGCCAAACACAGAGAAAAGTGACCTTGCAGAAAGTCACATGACAAAAAGCGTCCTTGTCCCCGTGTTCACTTCAGCTTTCGACTCTGGTTTCTCATGCCACAAAAAAAATAAAAGACTCCAACGAGACGAGTGGAAATGAGCCGATTCTTTTTCATGAGGAACGCACTCTCAAAAGTCGAAGAAGCAAACTCAGTTGTCAAAAAGAGAAAAAAAAATGGCCTTAATGAATCTGACTATAGGAGGTAGTTGATGGAAAACAAGCAGCCCGCTGCGATTGACAGATCCTTACCTGTCAACGTCCCCTTGGATCTCTTTGCTTCCTCTGTGCGAGATTTCTCGAGAAGAAGCCGCGTCGGCTGCTCGGCCCGCGTTGCGCGCATACAAATGCAGACCTCCGTCTGTGAGATATCTGCGGGAAGAGAAGTCAGACTTGTTTTTTTTTTTTTTTGTTCATCCCCCCCCTCAGTGTAACTTCACTGATGAGAAAGAGAGAGCGAATACAGACCCTGTCTTTTTTTTTTTTTTTTTGAATGTATGTTTACAATTAGCATATGTGGGTTGGGATTTGAGCGCCGATAGCAATCAGATGCGCCTGATAGGACATGGGAATGATTAGCCGGCGGGCTAATTGAGCTAATGAAATGGCAAATCACCTTTCTGTCATGACGCGCTCAAACAATTTGTCTCAAATCCCACGCATGTTTAACTCCATCAATCAAACGACAATCAATCATTCGGGCAATTTCATCCGCCCCTCTAAAGTTTTACGAACATACTAATAATGCATCTTAGATATCCAAGTGATCTTCAACATTTTACTGAACTGACCAAAATGATCAATTTGTAATAGAAAAAAAATTAAATCAAGCAAGTTTGGGCAAAAGCTCCTTTTGCCCGACGACGACAATATTTTTTAATCATCATTGAATGTTCTAAAAAAAAATAATAGATGAAAGTTAGCATGTGCTAGCATGGTTAGCACGATTCAGCCTACCCGCTGGTGATCTCATCCATCCGTCCGTTCTTTCCCAGGACGTCCCCATCACTCATGTAACCCGCCACTTCCATCTGCTTCCCTCCTTCCAGCCCTCCTCCTCCTCCTCCTCCTCCTCCCCTCTCCCCCTGCTCCGGCCCCCGCCCCCCTGCCGATCGCCTCAGGGGGGTGCTGTACACAAACCTGGAGGGGTCAGGGTGGTTGCCGTA